ATTAAAGTTGGGAAAAATCTGTGGCGTGTTCAGGGAAATAGTAAGAATTGAAGCATTGCAAGTAAATTACTATTTGAAAATATCATTTCGTGCAGCATCTGCATTAAGGTTAAATATCAGAGTTGGACACTAACCGATTAAAATGTTTGATTTGATTCATTGATCGATGTTTATCATTAATATCATAAAATTGATAGTCAACAAATCTGCGATTTATTTGATTGCTTAATTGAGTTAATTGTCAACGTTGATTAAAGAGAATTCACCGAAAAATCGACGGCCGATTTAATCGATTACTAGAATGAATTGCCAATTTGATCAATTGTTAGTTTTTACGCAGATCGTGATTAAAATCTCAGTTAAATTGAAATTTTAAATTGTAATAAAGTGGACAGAAGAAGGTGAAACAGCAAAAATAAACTGTAATGCAGAAGTATTTATTTTAAAGGGGTTGACATTTACAGATTTTTTCATTTATTCATTTATTTTTTATTATTCACTTATTCTAATTCATTAACTTCGCTAGAAAAAGAATGTTTGCAGTTAATCGTTACTGAAATATTCGACTGATCGTTACTTGTTATTAACGAATAAATTTCTTTTCTAATTGCTTCTTATGATTAATTACTAAAGTTGAAAGGTAATTGTTGAGTGCGGTTAAGGGTTATAACAGAAATTTAATCGTTAGTTATTCGTTAATTTTTTGCTTAATTTTGATATGCACTATTTAATATTTACACTTAGAAACCATTTAAATAAAACGTTTACTCCGCATTTAAATGAATGACATAAACGTTAAAAATAGCTGCAGTTTAATGTTCATTTCCTGGAGTAATCTCCTGAACTAGAGAGGGTATAATATTTGGAAACAATATTTCGAAAAACAGCAGATCCTTTACTATTGCTGATTACCTTCCCCATATTATCTTTGTGTAGATCATTCGTCTGAATGTTTCTGTAGGCATGTATTAATATTTCAATAATTATGTCTGCAATCGTGTAATCTAGAAATGTCCTTGACTTTCTCAGTCACAACCCCGATAAACGTGCATATTGCTGTCTATATAGTGTGTATCTAATAGTGCTAGAAACAAGTTATCATTCTCCACTTCAGGAAGTTCATTAACGAATCATGATAAGCGCGATTCAAACGAAGTTGCGGTCCGTAATAATGACGATGACTAAATCATTACTTTTATATTAAACGGAAAACTCTTGACTACCGAAGAAAGCACGGTAACGAATATAGAACATCTTAATATTTTGTTAAATAACACTACGCGTAACTGAGAAGTTTAACAAATGCTCCGCGTATAATTTTAAAAACATTTAACTTTTCGTCCAATGCTCATTCAAGAATTTTTCCTTTATTTTACGAGTATTGTCAGTTGTAAAAGAAATAAAATGAAATGTAAATATAATGAAATAAAATTAAAATATACCCTATTTTCGTCATTCTGAATATCAAAAAGAAAGTTTTAGACATACATCATGTTCTTACTATAGAAATGTAGCCTAGATACAAAGAAGTTATCTGGATAAAACAGTGAAGTGGTATTTAAATCTACAAAAGCTTAACCCACAAAGTAAATAAAGGTACTTATTATTTCTTATGAATGAATTCGAAAGAAGCTGTAATTATAACTTTGTTACAACATATCCAACAGTTATTCGACATACACTCCGGAGCGTAACTGTAACACCACTACAATTTTTAATTCTAGTATTTCAAGCAGCAACTTTTAAGTGTTAATAATATCACAAACAAAGTTAAAAACATCGTTAAAAATATCTATTTATACAGAGGTAAATATATTAATAAATGTGACTTTCCATAGGTGCACATTTATAGCGCCAGTGAAACAATAATATTAAATAACGATAAATCCTTTATTAGTAGAAATTAGTTATAATTAACAGTATACTTAAATGTATTTTAATAGTGTATAGGATCACCTTTGTTATGAGTAAGTTAAAAAACTAGATTTAACATACTTTAGACCATGTATTTTAATATTTCGTTCGTGATATCATTTTAGGACTCAATAATAGTTTCTTTTAACCGTGACGTTGTTAAAAATTGACGATTATTTGCATGAATACGTCGAACTATGACTCCCCATATGTACTCCATGGGGTTTTGGTCCGGTGAGCTTGCCGGCCATTTTATTAAATTAATATTTAGCATTTGAAACGACATCTTAGTTTCGTGACTATTATGAGGGATTTGTCTTGTTAAAATGTCCATTATATGTCATTCTTTTAGCGTAGGAATGGTAATAAATTATTTTTACTATTTCGGTATATTCTCCACTATTTATTCTACACGAAGGTAAAGCTAACTGAATCTTTCTAATTGAACAGAACGCTCGTTAAATCATTACTCAGCCTTCACCAAAATTTCGTTTAGAAAAATATTTCAGGTTCTTATGAAGATCTTGCCATATATGAACAAAAACAATTTGGACCGTCAAGATTACATTTTTTCTTATCAGAAACAATAAACTAAAAAAAATGATGTACTAACAAAAGCAATAAAAATAATGCCACGAATCAACTTTTGAATTTTTAGAAGAGACTTACGGGATACCAATTTTTACCTGTACTTGAACGACCATATTCTAATCTCGCTATTTTATCGCGCGTTAAAAGTTTCGATGCAGACAATAATTCTTGTCCTTCGATATTTGGACTCCGTTTAAGGACACCCTGAGTAGTCCAGCGAGAAGCATTAGGTTTACATTTCTTTGCAATTTCTTAACAAGATTTTAAAGTATTGCTCGCAATTTTAATTATCTGTCGTTCACTACGCGTAGACTACCTTCTCTAAAAACTGAGTGTTTCTTGAAATGAGTTTTCTTGAATTAAAGAAAAAACTTTGTGGTTAGTTGCAGTTTTACAATAGAAAATCAGTTAAGTTAACTACGTTTGACGAGTATACGCGTCATCTTAAAGCTTGAGACGATACTAATTCTTTCAACGATGATTTATTCATTTTTTCAGATAAACATGTAATTCCTTTTGTTGCGCTTCGGTTTTTATTAAAATATACCCTAAGTGCGTTCCTCCTGCATTTGACGAGTATACACTACATTTTTTTTTATCTTATTGCCCACAAAACAGCAGCTTTTTAAACAAACTTCCACAGTTAACAGGTTAAGAACTGAAAGTGGTGCTATATTTCTCACCCCTAACAAATTGTTCTTCGATTACAATATATATGTAACCAAATATAATGTGCTACATCTGAATATGATAAGTACAATAATTGTAAAAATTTTGGCGGTGCTATAGTTATGCCCTACTAATTATGTGTTAATTTTTAAATACGAATAACATGCTTAACTCAAATGATAAGAAACGCTGGAAGTTGAAAAGAGTCAAAATGAAGGGGAAACGTTGACAGTTGAAAATTATTTTAATTAATCGACGTGTTGTTGCTATTGTTCACATACGTTTAACTTCATCTATATTCTTGATATTAAAACATAGGTGTATGGAAAATGGACACTGTTTCTTATGAGTAACTGTTTTAATATATGCAGTAAAACAATTGGATCAACGAACAAAGCAAATGATGGATATAGAAAGTTGTGGGTTATGAAAAAGGGCTAAAAAATCATTAAAATTTCCAAAATTACTTCCAAATATTTTTATATAACATTACATTTTATATTCTACAGAATATGAGATATACACAAAACTAATGGTAGCTACATATATGTATATACTGATATTATATTGGTGTAAAATGTTAGAAGGTGTAAAAGAAATCTCTTAAAATATCTTGGATATTCAAAATAAAGCATAATTAGAAATTCATTCGCCGAAATGAAAATAATAATGAAATATTAAATTGTTGTAAACTATTAAAACTGTATCTCTCGAAACGTTTATATAATCGGTTTTGCAATATACTTAGGTTAAATGATAACGGAGTGAATGATCATTGCTACAGTGTGTAACCCAAACTAGAAACTTAGTTGTCACAGTAGTAAAGGAAATAGTAAAATGTAGTTTATTAAAAATAAGATGATAAACATGACTGAAAGTGTGAACAATGAAATTTCTATTATTTTTTTGAGTGAACGGAATTTCAAATTCTACGGTATTGATGAGGAAAAATAATTGTTCAGTTTCTCAAATATTCGCATCTTTCTGCGAAGATAAAAAATACATATTTATTTATCGTTAGCTAAGGTGGAATTAAAAATAATTATTTAGAAAAAAAGAATTTAGAACAGCTTCTCTTTACACGCATAACCACTGTTCAGGTTTAATTTCAGAAATATACATGGAAATATATTCAATATTATAAACTGTACATTGTATGCTGTATTTGGATTAGATTTCGGCTGTTCGACGTAATCCGCTTCTATTAAATCTTACAATTACAAATTGTAGTTATTATTTACTATAAGTTTAGAGACTAAATTAAAAATAATAAAACTTTTTAATAATGGAATACAAGCTTTTGTAGGTTAAAAATATCATTAAAAGACGAAGTACTGTAGGTTTTAAAACTGAATTAGAAATGATAAAATTTTTTGATAGTGGAATTCAAGGTTTTGAGATTAATTACAAAATAAATTTTCCAGAAACAACTGCGAGGACGTTTCTTAAAGATAAAGAATGTATTTTAATGGCAATAAAAGAAGACCAACCAGTACGTTCCAGGATTATTCGTGAACATCGTGATCTCTTCGATTCTTTGTAAACGTTTGTTAAATGTTCACTCCTCTATCATTTTTATACATTTAAAAGGAAATGTATTTCCTAATCTGATAAATATAAGTACAAATATGTATGTTCGCATACATGTATACATGCCTACATACCTTGTGTACTCCGACTTACGTCCTTTTCGACTCACGTCGTCCACAATTAGGTCGTAAGTTCGAGGCTCCACTGTATGCACATAGTTTCAATTTTTTAATAACAGAGAAACAAAATTCTTCTGTCTCGCAAAAACAGGTTAAGATAACTTCACATACGTCTCTGTTCTTCTGAAGTCGCACGTCACCGCTGCGGCATCGCAGCGGGAGCTTGTCGGTCGCGTGCATACGGCTTAAAGTAGGACAGCAACTCGTTCAGACATTGTAAAAACAAGATAGAAACGTAGTGAAATTGTTAGAAGACGGTGAAGTATAAACAGAAATTAGTAATTCGGAAAGTGTATTAACCAGTTCACTGTGGAATTTAGTTTGATAAATCTCTCGATGTGCACGCAATAACATCAAATAATAGAGTATGTACTCGCCAAACGGAGAGTAAATGCATCTATAATATGTTCTAACGAAAAACTAAAGCAAAACGAAGAAGAATTACACATTTATCTGAAAAAATAAATAATTTGTCTTTGCAAAAATTAGTACCATTTTGCGTTTTAAGATGACGTACAGTGAGTCACAGCCAAAATCGTACATCACATATACGAATACGTTTCGTCTCGTGAAAAAGTTCAGGAAGGATATGGGGGAAAAAATATCATGAATCTATATTGTAAATGTATCTATATTTATTATGTAGTAGTATCAAAAGGAA